ATGAACAGCGCCAAAGAACCTCAACAAAGCTTAAAACACTCTACCCTTCGTGGAATGAAAAACTCGTTTTCGATATAGAAAACCTGAGAAACCTTCCAAACAAAACCATCGAAGTTATTGTTTACAATGATAATAAGCATGGTCATTACAAGAATTTTCTTGGAAAAGTTAGAATTTCTGGGATGTCTATTCCTTTTTCTGAATCTGAACCAATGATCCAGCGCTACCCTCTTGATAAAAGAGGGATTTTTTCGCATATAAAAGGTGACATTTCTTTGAAGATTTATGCAGTACTGCATGGGACCGAAAATCTGAAAACGGAGTCTTTTCAGACAGCAGCAGCAGAAGGAATGCAGAATCTGAAAAATACAGAAGATCGTGAGAGAAACAAGAAGAAAAAGAAGGAAAAAGAGTTGAAGACATTTCACTCATTAGGAGACGTTTTGGAGAATCCTGCAGAAAAACCTGTGATAATTGAACCCAAGAGTGATGTTTCCAGGGCAATGCATATGCAGTTTCCAGGGCAGAAACCTGAGTATGCACTGGTGGAGACTAGGCCACCGTTAGCTGCACGGATGGGCTACTGGGGACGGGACAAGACGGCAAGCACCTACGATTTAGTTGAACCGATGAATTTTTTGTATGTTAATGTTGTCAAGGCTAATGATCTTCCAGTAATGGACATATCAGGGAGTCTTGACCCATATGTTGAAGTGAGAATTGGGAACTACAAAGGGGTGACTAATCATTTCGAGAAAAATCAGAATCCTGTCTGGAACAAAGTTTTCGCATTTGCTAAGGAAAGACTACAATCCCATTTGATTGAAATCACTGTCAAGGATAAAGATGTTGCCAGGGATGATTTTGTGGGGAGAATTGTGTTCGACATTGCGGAAGTGCCTGATCGTGTGCCACCAGATAGTCCTCTTGCACCACAATGGTACTGTTACTTATCTAATCTAAAATATTATTATATTGTATAGTGGACATATTTAGTTATTCAAATCAACACACTCTCACGTCAAGAAAACACATTGATTTATTTAAATTTTTTCTTCAACAGGTATAGGTTAGAGAAGAAGACAGGGCAGCAAATGAGCCACGGTGAAATTATGCTTGCTGTTTGGATGGGAACACAAGCCGATGAAGCATTCCCTGAAGCCTGGCATTCTGATTCTCATAGCATGGACCAAACAAGCCTTACTGATACGCGATCAAAGGTTTATTTTTCACCAAAATTGTATTATCTCCGAGTACATGTTATTGCAGCACAGGATCTTGTTCCCAGTGATAAAGGCCGAAATTTAGAAACGTCTGTCAGGATAAAGCTTGGCGATCAAGGCAGGGTAACGAGGAATTCTCCAATAAAACATATCAATCCTGAATGGAATGAGGAACTGATGTTCATTGCATACGAGCCGTTTGATGAGTATATGGTCTTCAGTGTTGTGGAAAGCGGAGGGGGAAAAGAAGAAGTTCTTGGAATGCTGATGAAACCAGTTAGAGAATTTAAACATCGACTTGAAACTTCTAAACTTCCTGATGCTGAGTGGTTTAGCCTTTATAAGCCGTACGTGGCTGAGGAAGAAAGTGACATGCATAGAAAAGAAGGAACATTTAGGACACGAATTCTTCTCAGACTATGGGTTGATGCTGGTTACCATGTTCTTGATGAATCTCCGCATTTTAGCAGTGATCTTCAGCCAGCAGCAAAGATCTTGAGGAAATCTCCCATCGGAATTCTTGAGGTGGGATTTCTGGGAGCTCAGAATCTGTTGCCAATGAAAGACAAAGACGGTAATGTTGAACCACCTCGTCTCTTTAGAATTGTTAATAATTCAACTTATAACATTGTTTCAACTTTTAGTTTTCAAAATTAACAATCAATTAATATTATTAATCAATGTTGTCTTGAACTACAGACGAAGGAAATAAGGGAATACATTTAATATGAATTGTGTTTATAAAGCATCCTCTTATATGTGCCTTGTTTATCTTTGATAGAATACATGATTTTTGTATAACTTTCATAAATGAGTTCCCACAATATTCGATCTCGATCATGATCTATGTCGACTCTAATATTGTATTGAACCACCTTAGACTTGTGTCTTAAACAGGTGAAACTACAAATGCTTATTGTGTAGCAAAGTATGGGACCAAGTGGGTTAGAACAAGAACTCTTGCTGACACCCTGAATCCTCGATGGAACGAACAATATACCTGGGAAGTTTTCGATCCATGCACAGTAATAACAATTGGTGTTTTTGACAATTGCCACATAACTGGAAAAGAAGATGCCAAAGATCAAAGAATTGGAAAGATAAGAATCAGGCTTTCGACATTAGAAACTGATCAAATTTACACCCATTTTTATCCTTTGCTTGTTCTTGAACCTTCTGGTTTAAAGAAAAATGGCGAACTCCATCTGGCAATTCGGTTCACCTGCACTGCCTGGGTAAACATGATGAAACGATATGGAAAGCCATTGTTTCCAAAAATGCATTACGTTCATCCCATTTCTCTCCGCCATATCGAGTGGCTTCGCCACCAGGCAACGGATATAGTTGTTAAGAAGCTCGCCAGGGCGGAGCCGCCGCTCAGGGGGGAAACTGTGGAGTACATGTTGGATGTGGATTACAATGCATGGAGTCTGAGGCGTAGCAAAGCGTATTTTGCCCGGATAATGGTGCTTATGAATGGGATTTCGTACGTTCTCAGATGGTTTAATGGAATCTGTTACTGGAAAAACCCCATGACGACTATTCTTGTTCATATATTGTGCTTTATATTGATTTGCTACCCGGAACTTATTTTGCCTACATTTTTCCTCTACCTGTTTGTTATTGGATTATGGAAGTATCGGTTCAGGCCGAGGCATCCACCTTATATGGATGCCCAGCTTTCGCAAGCAGATGTAGCTCATCCAGACGAAGTCGACGAGGAATTCGACTCATTCCCGACTTCCCGTCAAACGGATACTGTGAAAATGAGGTATTGTTGAACTATCTTATCTAAAATATCTATTAGAGTAGCAGAGTTATTTATTTAAAATTTGGTTTCAAGGCCTAAAAGCCTTAGACCACCTCCAACTTTGCACCAAATTAAAATTCATCTCTTACTATTACACCAAATGGACGGTGTTTAATTATTTTCTTCCATTTTTTTTATTCTTTATAATTTATTTATTTGAAATATTATTTATTTAATTATTTTATAAATACATAAATTACTAAATAAATAATTCGGTAAATACATAATTTGTGTTAACTTTAATAAATAATCGTTTTTATTGTATTTTAAATTGTTTTCGTCTTTTAATTAATTTATTAATTATTATGTCTTACATTTAAAATTTATTTTAAATGCAAATAATATTATTATTAATATTAATAAAATAATAATAATTTATTTTATTAAAAATATATAGCACAAATAACATATATACCCTTAAAAATTTATTTGAAAAATGTTAAGCGGCTGTCTGGGAGTGATTCTTCCGGAATTAAAATGAGAATTTTGCCCGTTAGCTACAGTAGGTGGGTCCCATTGTGGCAGCAGTTAAGAGCAAGTAAAAGGTGAAATACCGAAAATGCCCATCTGTCATAACAAAAATTTTGACTGTTAAGGACAGAAATGTCATTTTGCCGAGAAAACGGTCCAAAATTGCGGCTACATTTTTGACATATTAATTGAAGAACTGCAGCCCGGGTTCCACTACCTCATCCAACGGTCAAAAAATGCATTTTCTGGGCAGCAACAATCGCTACCAGACAGAGCCTAAATAAGGCCAAACAAGACATTTTACACTTTGCACCATTTTGCACCAAAATGGTGCAAAGTTTGATGTTGCATTGAAGCAACCATTGGATATGCCCTTACATGTGTATAATTTTTAGAAAACAATGGCTGGAAGATTTGACCTACACCTTTACCCGCTCATAGTTTGTTAAGTCGTTTTTTCTAGATCAGAAGTTTAAACTATTATTTTGTCTTCAACAGGTATGACAGGTTACGCAGCGTCGCAGGCAAAGTCCAGACTGTGGTTGGCGATTTGGCAACACAAGGAGAGAGGGTTCTTGCCGTATTGAGCTGGAGGGATCCTAGAGCTACGGCTCTATTCGTCCTCTTTTCATTGATCTGTGCCGTGTTTTTATACATCACTCCGTTCCAAATCGTCGCAGTAATCATTGGGATTTATGTGTTACGCCATCCTAGATTCAGGTACACTGAACCCTTTATTCAAAAGCTTAAAAATTTAAAAATATACAATTTTATTTACGTCAATTATGTCTTTGACATCTCCTCATTCATACGTTACTTATTTTTTTTCATTTTTTTTAAAAATTATTATCATCAAGGCCTAATATGCGTATAACTTTCCATAAAAGAGTGACCTCAAGACAACCATTTGTCTGCTCTGATACTACGTTAATACTTTTCGTCTAAAACAGAAATTTTATTTATGCAAATTACATCTTTAACAGGTCTAAATTGCCACCAGTACCTATCAACTTCTTCAGAAGATTGCCATCCAAGTCCGACATGCTTCTATGAGATGGAAGAATTGAAGACTATCACCTCTCAATTTATTCTTTCAGGTTAAAGCAGAAAGATTTTCCATTAAAGATGTCGAATAAAGTTTGCAGCAGAAGAAACAAAACTGAAAGTGGTAGTCCTTATTTGCTTGCAACATCCCATCTTCTTTAAGAATTTCACTTTCTGAAAAGCACTGATTCTTTCTCTCTTATCCCATGTAATAGACCAATGATTATTATTTTATTTTATTTTTTTGTTTATGGTTTTTGATAATGTTCAATGTTTTCTTAAATTGTATGAGAGAAACTTGTAGTTATTACTTGTTTTGAAGCAAATAAGGATATACCGGTGATGCAGCAGTTGAATTACATGGAATTGAGTGACAATAGTAAATTTTAGCCAAGTCTGATTCGATAGTCTTATTCTCGGTAAATAAAGCTACATAGAAACAACGTCAGCCATTGATGTAATTGAACCTGAATCTTTTATTCATTTCTCAAGAAACAACGATAGAAGTTTCTTGAATTTATTTTTCTTTTATTACACAACCATTTACCACAGTTTATCATTCAAGGTCTATCTCTCCATTTAGGTTCCAGTACAAATTAGGGTTCCATCAGATCTGTAAAGTTTGCAACCCTTCTGTGCTCTGCAACAGTTTGTGCAGCTTGGATGAAGCTTCTGGGGGCCAGAAGAGGGGCAAATCATGTAGCCAACATTTAGGCACTCTTTTGTGCAGATTTTGGTTTCGGCTTCAGCATAGTTCACGTTGCTTCCCAAGAAAAACAACCCTGTTATAGAAATCACAAACAAAATAAGAAAGAGTAATTAAGTAGAAACCTAAAAATTAACAAAGAAAAATAAGTCGACATCTTGTCTATTGTATAATTTAGTATTGTATACTAAATAGATGTCAAAAGAAAGAAAATGTCGACAAAGCATAATTTGAAATACACAGAAAGATTGAAATAAGACAAGGCATTAGAACATATACCACAAATTAGGAGGAGAGTAAAGATGCCAACTTTGCTATTAGCCATGGTTTCTTAATTATTCTTAGTGCAGACTATTTTCAGCTATTTATAGGGAAAAATGTGACATTACCATTTGCTGTTGATGACTTTTTTCAGTATGAGAAAACACGCAAGTCATAGATATGGTGCGCAAGCAAATGTCTATTCAAACTTGCAAATATATAATACTTCACAATATTAAAAATTATCTTGTTAGTTTGTGTGCAACAAAGAAGGCATAATGTTTCTAATTTCATTGTGAAATAACAACGTAAAATAATTTCATAAAATATGAGATTAATGAACAGCTTTCATAATGGATTTAATTTTGTCGACAGTAATAATAAGAATTCTATAAAAATTTGTGTAGCTCTTACTCAAAAAGACGTTAAGACTCGTTCCGTAATTTATTTAAAATATACTATTTAACTTGAGATGAGGTCATATCGAAGTGCTTTATTTCATTTGATTTGAATTCCTTACTCATTCAATGGAAACTATTAATGATCTTTCATATAAAAGTCAAAATATGATTCTTATGAATTGTTTAGCAAAACATTTTCTTTGACTCGCTTAGATATATTAGAAAATATGTAATAAAACTTGTTGATTCGTGCAAAATGTAGCCTTCATGAACTAATTATGAAACCAAAATCTTAAAATTGCAACAAAAATAAGTTCTTACTTTTGATAAAATAATGAAAGGGTTCAAAATTCAACCCCTAAAATGATGGGTTTTGCCCTAAATCACGAAAAGTTAGAGCTTCTCCATGAATTTACTCATAAATTTATTTTCGCTTGAAAAAGTAATATCATTTATCCAAATATGATTTTGTTGACTAAGAAAATGAGTTTTTGTTCAAAATTAGGCTAGATTTTCTTCAAACGGGCTTTTCTTGGAAAAGTAATATCATTTATTCAAATGTGCTTTTGTTGACAAAAAAATTTAAGTTTTTGACCAAAATGAGGCTAGATTTTCGTGAAACGCATCAAAGGCTTATCTAGTATTCACATATTTATCGTACGGAAATTGACCTGTTCCTTCCTTCATGGCGTATGCCTCTATTTTCAAAGTAGTCTCGTGGACCATAAATATACAATTAAGAACCTTAGGTACAATTCAAACCCCAAGAGCAATGGCAGCCATGACTTCCACATCAGAACGATAAAACTATTGGAAAGAAGAAAAGATAATGATAATCTTTGCCCCTGTTTCGTAACGA